ACAATGACAGTAGGTGAAGAAAAAGTCGATGTGGTCATGATAGGGTGTTTGTTCCACACTTCTCTGTGTCAACCTTAGCCCCTCCTTGGTGAACTAAGATATTTTGTAGTTAAATGAAAGATAAATGCATCTCAAACCATCTGTTCACCTCTCTTGCCAAGAAAGCCAATCCTTCTGTAAACACACCCTCTGTTTCTCCAAAAATCTGCCTTCTGGAAGTCTAAACTGTCTTCCTTTGCAGCCTCTGAACACCAAGCACCAAGCTGAAATCATCGTTCTTTACCAAGTCTGCCTGGAAAGGTAACCTGTCCTCAAACCGACCAGCTGTAACCCATCTCAGTTTCCTGCCTCCTCCCAGGCAGGGAACCCAGAACCTAGAGGGGTAAAAAGAGTTTTCTTTCAACAGGGAGCCTATGCACAACAACAGGGGGAAAGTCAGACTGACAAAGTAGATAAATTAGGGATAAACTTTTCACTATACGTAAGTATGCATCATGGAAGTCCTTCAAATAATTGCCCCAGTGGTACAGTTCTATCTGATTTTAAATACAAAAATTGATTTTCATAAAACATTTCATGAATATATTATTTGCCTAAGTAGAAGCGTACTAGTTTATATTCCTATATTGACAAAGAAAATTACTTTAGCTCGGCCAGGCAAGGTGGTTCGCGCCTGTAGTCCCAGCTACTCAGGAGGCCGAGGCAGGAGAATCACTTGAATCTGGGAGGCAGAGGTTGCAGTGAGCCAAGATCAGGCCACTGCACTCCAGCCTGGGCAACAGAGCAAGACTCCATCACACACACACACACACACACACAAAAGAAAATTACTTTAGCTCATAATTAGTTCTTTTTTTTAAGAGACAGAGTCTCACTCTGTCTCCCAGGCTGGAGTGCAGTGGCACAATCTCAGCTCAGCTCACTGCAAGCTCTGCCTCCCGGATCATGTCATTCTCCTGCCTCAGCCTCCCAAGTAGCTGGGACTACAGGCGCCTGCCACCACGCCCAGCTAATTTTTATATTTTTAGTAGAGACGGGGTTTTACCATGTTAGCCAAGATGGTCTCGATCTCCTAACCTTGTGATCTGCCTGCCTTGGCCTCCCAAAGTGCTGGGATTACAGGCGTGAGCCACCACGCCTGACCATAATTAGTATTTAATGCACAATTTTAATCTCAACTCTATCTTTTCTCTATATTCTTCTTTTTTTTTTTTTTTTTTTTTTTTTGGGAAAGAGTCTCTCTCTGTCACCAGACTGGAGTGCAGTGACACGATCTCCGCTCACTGCAACCTCACCTCCTGGGTTCAAGAGATTCTCCTGCCTGAACTTTCCAAGTAGCTGGGACTACAGGCCCCTGCCACCAGACCCATCTAATTTTTTTGTATTTTTAGTAGAGATGGGATTTCACCATGTTGGCCAGGGTGGTCTCAATCTCTTGACCTGGTGATCTGCCTGCCTCGGCCTCCCAAAGTGCTGGGATTACAGGCGTGAGCCACCGCACCAGGCCTCTTTTCTCTATAGTCTGTATTCTAACCACAGAAATAAGATTTAGCTTTCCCATCCTAAAACTCAGGCAATAAAAATCTGATATTTCTGCTGACGAGTTGATGGGTGCAGCACACCAACATGGCACATGTATACGTATGTAACAAACCTGCACATTGTGCACATGTGCCCTAGAACTTGAAGTATAATTAAAAAAAAAAAAAATCTGATATTTCTTCGTTCTTGGTGGGCAAAGGGCAAGTTTAACATTTTCCACAGACTTCGAAGAGCCAGATATATTCAGTATTATTATTACTACTACTAATAACTCTTGAATGCTAACATATGAATTAAGTTGTTTCAGAGAATACTTAAGATAAAATTTATTTGAGGAATTTCTGATAGAGATTAAATAGTTAAACTTATTAATGTTCATATGTTATTTATAATAATCTATTGTCATTTTAATTGCTTTCTGAAAATAGTCATTTGCATTACAAAGATATTTTGTAGTTAAATGAAAGATAAATGCATCTCAAACCATACATAGAGTGAAAAGTCTTTATCAAGCAACCTATTCAACAAAAAGAGTGAAACAAACACATTCCATCCCTCTATCTATTTTATCATCTGGTTCAGATACTTGAAAATCTGTAAAGGTCTTTAGACAGAGTTGCTGTTTGACAGACTGCAATACATAGATATTACACACAAGCACAAAAAAGATCAAGTCCTGCATTAATCAATGATTTTATAACAAACAATAAAAATTCCTCCGTGACCTCATACCAAAAAAAAAAATCCAATCCCAAACCAATGAACCATATAAATCAACAAAATAAATCTAAATGATATCCTGGAGCAAAAACAGGCATGAGTGTTTCTTGGAGTTTTTTAATAATGAAATTACACCCATATTACATAATCAATGAGATGGTCCCTTGACCTAAAAGTCCCAGCGGCGTGGGCACAAGGGTCAGACAAAAAAGATCACACAGAGAACAATGTATTCAGTCAGGGAGATTTGGCAACATCCATTCAATCTGCCTCAGTCATTCAGAAAATAATTATGGTATTTATCACTTTTAGTGTGCTAGACAGGATGACTACTAAGGGAGAAAAAAAAAATCAGACAATGCAACATAATGTATGTGCTCTGAAAAGTATAAGCATTGCCCTCAGGGATCGGGAAAGTCTTCTTGAAGGTGAAGACTCCCGAACTGAATCCTGAAGGAAAAGTGGGCACTACCTATGTGAAGGGAGCAGAAAAGATAGTATGTGCCTAAGTCCCAAGTTAGAGCACGCTGCGGTGAGAACCTTGAGGAGTGTCATGCATCCCAACAATGAGAAGGAATTACAAGTGATAGAACAGCGATATGAATAAGGGGCAGATAAGGAATATTTTTGCCTGCTATGGTGAGGAGATGAGATTTTAGCTGAGGACAAAGGGGACAATGACAGTAGGTGAAGAAAAAGTCGATGTGGTCATGATAGGGTGTTTGTTCCACACTTCTCTGTGTCAACCTTAGCCCCTCCTTGGTGAACTCACTTTTTGGTTGGAGTTTTCGATACTTCTCTATCACTCCCATGCGTCCCTCTTCCTTCATCTGGCAAATCCTGCCTCTCAGTATCTCTCAATGGACAAGAGTTTCCTCCCATCTAGGAAACTAACCAGCCTCTGGAGGGCTTCTCCTATTAAGTAACCTAAATAACTAATGGTGACACCACCTCCTCTTTTAAAAACCAATTTAACACTATCTTGTTTATCTCATAATTCCTAGGCACCAATCATCCGACAAAAGCATTCACTTACAACATCATTGTGCTGTGTTTCTCTTGTCAGACTTCACCATTCATCTCAGCAGACTACAAAAAGACATGGGAAAGACCAAAAACACATCGCTGGACACTGTGCTGACAGATTTCATTCTCCTGGGCTTGTCTCACCCCCCGAATCTAAGAAGCCTCCTCTTCCTGGTCTTCTCCATCATTTACATCCTCACGCAGCTGGGGAACCTGCTCATTCTGCTCACCGTGTGGGCTGACCCGAAGCTCCATGCTCGCCCCATGTACATTCTTCTGGGAGTGCTCTCATTCCTGGACATGTGGCTCTCCTCAGTCATCGTTCCTCGAATTATTTTAAACTTCGCTCCTGCCAGCAAGGCTATCCCGTTTGGTGGCTGTGTGGCTCAGCTGTATTTCTTTCACTTCCTGGGCAGCACCCAGTGCTTCCTCTACACCTTGATGGCCTATGACAGGTACCTGGCAATATGTCAACCCCTGCGCTACCCAGTGCTCATGAATGGGAGGTTATGCACAGTCCTTGTGGCTGGAGCTTGGGTCGCTGGCTCCATTCATAGGTCTATCCAGGCCACCCTGACCTTCCGCCTACCCTATTGTGGGCCCAATCAGGTAGATTACTTTATCTGTGACATCCCTGCAGTATTGAGACTGGCCTGTGCTGACACAACTGTCAATGAGCTTGTGACCTTTGTGGACATCGGAGTAGTGGCCACCAGTTGCTTCATGTTAATTCTACTTTCCTATGCCAACATAGTCCATGCCATCCTGAAGATACGCAACGCTGATGGGAGGCGCCAGGCCTTCTCTACCTGTGGCTCCCACCTAACTGTGGTCACAGTCTACTATGTTCCCTGTATTTTCATCTACCTTAGGGCTGGCTCCAAGAGCCCCCTGGATGGGGCAGTGGCTGTGTTTTACACTGTTGTCACTCCATTCCTGAACCCCCTCATCTACACACTGAGGAATCAAGAAGTGAAGTCTGCTCTGAAGAGGATGACAGCAGGTCGAGGGACTGAATGAAAATAAGTAACTACACCTGCATCATCATCACTGCCACTCTCTTCAACTACTGCTACATGTGACAAATGCCCAATAAATTGCTAATGATTTAAAGTGAATTTACTTGCATTTTCTTTGGCAGAAAATTCTGAATTCTTTTGACCCAAAATCTTTTCTCCTAATTAAACTGGTTCAAGTTGTTTTACATAATCTTTTAGAAATAAATGGATACATTACTTCTATCACCTCTGACTATCTTGTAAGATGAGAAAATGCCTTACCGAAGGTTGAATAAGATGAGAATGTGTCAGTGTCTTAGAAGGTATACCATGCCAGAAAATATGACAAAAGTAAAAAGGGGGCTCTATAACCCCTTTTCTCATTGTCTTTGCTCCTAATCCTAGACCTCTCTAAATTCCATTTCTTTGCTTGTGCATGGCATGAATATTTCCAAGCACTTGAACTCGAAAATTCTGGACTATCCTGTTTTTTTTTCCTGTCCCTCATCCTCGTCATGTGCTAATACATCAAATTCTGTCTCCTCAAAACTGTGAAACCAGCTCAAACTGAATCGATGTAAACTGTCTCTCTTAATTCCTGACTAGTCTTTTGTCCTTTTCTTCCTCATCTGTACCACAAACAAAATTACTCTCTGAAACACAGAATCTGTAGGACTCTTCAGTGAATATAGAATGAATAAGGCCAGGCTCCTTAATCTGGAATTCAAAGTCCAGTGCAATCTTGGCCTCACATACATGTTCTCTTAGGCCATTTCCACCGCTTGCCTCTCCCACCCTCACTGAAGTATTGCCGTTCCGTGAGCGTGCCCTATACTTGCCTGTGCTCTTTTGCTCAAGCTCTCTCTTCTGTCTAGAATGTAAGTCCTCCCTCTCCATATTGACCAAGTGACAATTTATGCTTCCTTCAGATCCGTATTAAATATTTCCTCATCTGTTTTTCTCAGGCAGGACTTAACTCCTCTTCCCTGGTATTGCCATCACTTCTTTACTATAGACCTTGCCACAGTCTGTCATGTATTACAGTCAAGAATTTATCTCTCACCGGGTGCAGTGGCTCATGCCTGTAATTCCAGCACTTTGAGAGGCCAAGGCAGGTGGATCACAAAGTCAGGAGTTCAAGACCGGCCTGGCCAACATAGTGAAACCCCGCCTCTACCAAAAATACAAAAAATTAGCCAGGCATGGTGGCAGACATCTGTAATCCCAACTGCTTGGGAGGCTGAGGCAGGAGAATTGCTTAAACCCAGGAGGTGGAGGTTGCAGTGAGCGGAGATTGCACCACTGCACTTCAGCCTGGGCGGCAGTGAGAGGCTTCGTCTAAAAAAAAAAAAAGGAATTTATCTCTCTTTCCACCTCAAATGGATTGTGAGCCCTCAAAGGACATAAAGCATTCATTTGTGTTTGTCTGCCTCTATTGCCTAATAACTAGGAGCACACACAGATATCAATATTTGTTGCTGAATTGAAATAGCACTGGGAAAGTCTCTTGAAATGTATCTTAAAATAAAGAAATTATTGTCAGTTCAGCACATTACCTGCCCTGGTCTCACCTGGAAAAAAAAAAGAGAACATTTAAGAGAAACTAAAGACAGAAGATTCAACTACATGGCAACCTAAAGGCAAGTATGGACAGTTCCTTGGTGAATAAATGAAAGCAAGGTAAAAGCATTCTTTCATTCACTGACATATTTTTCACTTCCTTGGATGTGTGGTGTCATGTTGGCCCATTTTAACAGTTTAACAGTAAAATTAAAACAAATGCATGGAAAGATTCAAAATTCATAAATGTAAAAATATATTAATGTGGATAGAAGAATTACTCTGTGCTATACAGAAATACCATAATATCAGGAAGGATATATGTTATAAATACATATAATACATGTTACACACAGTATGAGAGACAACAAGCAAGGCAGTGCAGAGTCCACAATAATTCGCTAATCTTGAAACAAGCCATTGAAAATTGCCAACTGGACATTTACAAAACAGCATTTCTAATAGAATCTAGAAGACATTGATTGGTCTGACAAGTCTTCCATGTGACCTTTTGCTCAAGCTCTCTCTTCTGTCTAGAATGTAAGTCCTCCCTCTCCATATTGACCAAGTGACAATTGAGACTGGCCTGTGCTGACACAACTGTCAATGAGCTTGTGACCTTTGTGGACATCGGAGTAGTGGCCACCAGTTGCTTCATGTTAATTCTAC